CCCCTCCCCGCTGTATACTCCCCCAGTCTCCCATCTCTGCCTGTCCCCCTGCTGCTTCTGCACCTCTCCTCTTGCTCCCCCACAGCTTCTGCCCCCCCGCCATCAACTCCACCCTGCCACCTACCCTCCCACAAGGCTCCAGCCTGACCATGAAGTATACAGTTGCTCCAGCCCCAGCCCAGCTCAGTAGCAATGGTAGCAGCAACTCCAGTCCATGCTCCAACCAGAGTTGCCACTACTGTACCTGCAGCTGTGTGGCTAAACTAGGGCCAAAGCACCATGTGCTCCATGCTTCATACTGAGCAGGGCCAGAGGTTAAGCAATAGTGGGGGACAGGGACAAAAGCTAGAGCGGGGAGCAGACAGCAGGAAGTAGGGCAGGCACCAGGAGTGCAGGTGCCAGGGGGTGCAAGCATAGGGAGGGGCAAGTAGCAAGGGGGCAGGTGCTAGGGTGCACAGGCACTGCAGTAAAGGCAGGCAGCAGGGGTCAGGCTGCTTGATTCTCCCAACCCCCCCCCCTGGTTGCCCCCTGCAACTGCTTTCCATTTTTCAGTAGTGTGGGGAGGGAGGGTGGGGGAAGGGGGCAATTTTAGGACAATCCCCCAATAGTTAGATTGCATACTTGGAAGACTGTAACAAATTAATAAATGTTCCATGTATAGAATCTAGTTACTGGGGGGTGTCTGAAATTCAGAGCCAGTCATCTTGGATTTGGGTAAATACAGCACTTTATTAAAAAAGGGTGGTACCTTAGGGTGTTTATACACATGCTCTGGAAGTGAGTGTGTGTAGGGGGAGGGGGGAGCACCTTAATTACAGCAGTTCCGAAAGCCACTCTAAATAAAGTGTCTGGAGCATCATGTGCATCAGTGTCCTCATGCTGAAAAATGGTGGTGGGGGCACTTTAACTAAAGCTCATTTGATGAGTGCTAGTTAAAGTGCCCCGTTGCCATTTTTCAGCATGGGGATGCTAATACATGTGATGCTGGAGATTAATCGAGTCTGCTCCAAGGCGCTCTAATTACAGTGCATCAGAGCAGCCTCCCTGCATGCGTATAGGTACCCTTAGAGACCAACTCATTCAGAAATGTGTGAGCCAAAGGTGACTAGCTACTTCATTCAATGCTATCTCCTGTGAAAACTCATGTATTTCTGATCCAGTTAATCTCTAAGGAGACACCCTAACCTGCCCTCTTCCTTACTTCACACTAACACACCTAACTACCTTTCTAAACTTTGAAAAGGTACATTTCAGGCCTTCTACCCAGGACAGTGTTCTGTGTGAATGGTAAAATAAATAAGGAATACTGAAGCTATACCATACGGGGTTACAAACAGATCTGTTGGGTTCTAGGTTAAGAATATCATTGCAGGATGTTGTTCCCGAGATGACAGATAAAATCAGATTATTCAGAAAAGTTATTAATGGCAGCAAAGAAATACTGGATGAGAAATAAGAGTCTCTGCAGGAAACTAGTTCATCCTTGAAATATAACTATGAGCATCTCCCAAACAGATGGCAAGATCTACAACAGAAGCTTGTAACTTGATATTAGCAGATATTAGCATATATACCTTGAAGGAATACACTACTTAGAGGCATGCTTAGTGCTTCTCTCTGCCCAGCACTGCATGTATGCACAAATTGGGAAAGTGTGGCCAAAACAAAAAAAGAGCCACAAACCCTGAAAACACCTGTAATCTTTTATGGGGACACACATACCTACAGCTCTCATACTCTGGGAGGAAAAGAATTATGAGCCAACACTGCATCTTCAGGGGAGTGAGAAAGCCAAGCAATCTGTCCCGTTCTCTGCTACAGGTAGTCCTTTACGGAGTGTACGTACATAAAATACCCTGTTGAAAAGGTGAAGAATGACTGCTCCTGGAGTTTCCAGAGAGACGAGATGCCTCCATAACATTCTCATTGTATCTTACAAAAATTACAAGACTGGAAATTGTGGGCATTTATACACAAGCTCCAGAAAGCGAGAGGAGGGGGAACAAGCTTTAGTTAAAGCTCATTGAACAAGCTTTAGTTAAAGCACCCCTGCCACCATTTTTCAGCATGGGGACAGTGATACACGTGACCCTAGAGTCTGATGGAGCGCAGTAATTAATCAAGTCTGCTCCAACGTGCTGTAATTATAGTGCGTTGGAGCAGCCTTGATGCATGTGTATCGGCCCCCTACAAGATTGGAAGGAAATAGGTTTATTGGTGGTGGTAGTGGTTTCTTTTTCTATTAAGTAGCAGTTATGGTGGAATACAGCATTTGTTTCTCTTGAAAAATATTTAGATTTTGATGGATATGGTTCTATGGAAGTTTTTCTGACTAGCTTCTACTCTTTATGAAGGTGCTAAAGTAAATAAGTTAGTTTATATATTCTCTTGCTGCAGCAAAACACAGATGGAGAAGCCTAAAATAGATTCAAAGATTGGATCAAGACCTACTTCATCATTCGTAGAAATATATATTACCATAAAATATATATTTTAATGTACACACACACGCATTGTATAGTTATATAATTATTATATGTATTATGGATTGAGGCATTAAAATACATTTAAAATTGTTCATTTTGCTGTATATAAAGCCAACCCATACTGCTCTTGCTTTGATTCCATTATAGCAACAAGGATTTTTCCATCTCAATTTTTCTTTCTTATAGTAACAGTTAACCAATATTATGAGATTATCACAATATTTCAGTATACAGTAGCTACAAACAAGTCTAATTTACTTCATATTCAATTTTCCTGTTTTCTGTAACAATGGGCTTGATTTTGTGTCCTGTAAGAGCTTTGCCTTGATGTATGAGGTTAAAAAAAGAACTCAAACCCAGTTTTACTCAGATTAAAGTCTTTCAGTTTACTTTATTCACAATTGTTATACGGACTAGATATTTACTTAAGAAGTATTCACGTAATACCCACCAAATTGGACTGGCATTTTGCACAATAGAGGACAGTAGTCTCAGATTTAAAAGTTTTCCATTAAAGGAATCACAAATTTCACCAGAACAAAGAAATAAATCTGGTTACTTTTTCTCGAAAAAATATTCACATACACAGATGGAATAACAAACAAATGGTAAGCATAAGCTTGTCCCAAAATTTATTTATGTAATAACTTGCATACATGATCTGCTCCCTTCTTACCAAGCTAATATACAAGTAAGCAAACAAGTAGCAAAAATACGTTTAATGTACTTACAATAATTACCTCTTGCATTATTTTCTCATGTAGCAACATGAAGCACCTATTATTTCTTTCAGCACATAAGGCTTAGAAGAGTTTGCTTTATTAATTATGGCCATATAGCAGCTGTGTCTCAGAATGAAATTTTATTTGTTCCTTTCAACTAATATAGTATGCTAATGATAATCTATTTTCATTTTCATGTTGCCAACAGAAATATTGTTCTATAAAATTCGCCACGTGTTTGGTTGCAAAAGCTAATTTATGATAAAATGTGCAAGTAATTTTTTTAAAGCTTCACACACAACTACTTTGAGACACAAAGTAAGAGCAGTTAAAATGTACTGTAATGTACTATTTTCAAACTATTTGAAAAGATTAGTAAAATGTTATACATGCTAATTATAGTAAAAGTATGCTCTATAAACAATACAAATAATTTTTTCTATAGATTTGATCAGATTTATATTACATTTCTCCAGTACCAGCATAAGCTGTATTTGGGTCTGCTGAAGAAGACTTAGAAAAGTAGAAATAGTAGAACAGATGTAAATCTGAAGCTTTAAATCCATATTTAAAATAGGTTGATGAACTGGCAAAGGAAATCCTTTAATTTGCAGAAATAGGAACAGAAATTTTTGAACAGGAACATACAAAACTATACATGCATGCAACTTGGATTGTAACTAAATCTGTAAAATGCTCGTTAACATCTAGCATCTTTGCTGCTCATTCACCAATGGAGCAGAAAAAAAAAAGAATTTGCCTATGTATTCATAGATTGACTAAATATTTTGGCTTAAACCCTTCTGTGTTTTACCCCATTCCAAGTCTAGTCCTCTTGGTAAATCATTTCCTTAATATTAAAAATAAATATTAAAAGGGAGATTATTTCATAGTACAATTGTATTTTTCCTTTGTATTTTTATTTTGACCTTACTGCTGATTTATTCAGGTTAGTAACCAAATCTTGATAATACTTGTAAATATCAAAAGGCCATGCTCTTTGTTTTCATGATATATTACTATAAATCTACTTGTGTATAGTTATCTTAAACACCACAGCGTACTGATTGTAAAATGTAGTGATCTGGATATATATACACACACTACAGAATGCTGTACATATACTCTAGTTTTTCCTCTGTATTGTTCTTAAGGTGAAAGTTGAAAACTATGCTAAAGTCATAATGTTAATAAAGGAAGAGCACAAGCTGTTCTTCTGGGCCCAAGCTAACTTCTCTTCCCTTTGGAGAAGTATCAGAACAAATGAAAATGGATAATGATGCCTGTTTTTTCCAGAAAGTGAGTAACTTGAACAATACCTTGGAAAAAGAGCATCTCTCCCCCTGCTCCCCACCCCCATGAAGGTAATAAAACGTGCTTTTGCAATAGTCAGTGTATCCAGAGGAACACTTGCTCTGCACAGTGAACACGTCTTGAACCTTTTGATAAAGTACGTCTTGTAAGGGAAAGACATGTTAGGTAAAAAGGAAGGGGAAGTTCCATTTTACAAAATCAAATCAGTAAACGGGAATTTGGTCTGGTTTAGTTCTTTCATACTTTTATTTGATAGAAAGAAAAGTCATGGATTTGGATGGAATTGGGTATGGTTGGTCATGGAGCCAATACCCCTCTGGACCACCAGAACAGTGGGAAGTAGGAAAAGAGGTTTATTATAGGAACAGGAAGAAATTAAATATGCCACTGCAAAAGGGACAAATCTCTTTTCCCAGACAGTGCAGTACATTTTCACAGCTGCCGTAAATTGAAATAAATGTACTGTTAATTAACTTACCAGCCTGCGGATATCCCTCTCACATTCACGCTTTATTCTATTTATCTCATCCTGATGGGATTGATAAGCTGTGCGCAAGTCAGCAGCCTTCATCTTATCTGCCTGCATAATGTTGTTCAAAGCTTCTTCAAGTTGCTTTTTACCAGACTTGAGCTCTAAGATCTCCTGTTGCATCTTCATACGTTCATTATCAAATGCTTTTCGAGCCTCCTCTTTGGCTTCATTGAGCAATGCTGTTTTCACTTTGTCGGCAGCCCCATCCCGCAGCACATTCACTGTAGACTGCAGACGGTGAATTTCACCATCTTTGATTTTTCCCATTCGAGCTACTTCCTGCTCATGCTGCCGAATGAGCGCCTCCCGGACAGCCTGGAGTTCCTTCATTTTCTCTTCGTGGAGCTTTGCCTTCAGCTCCGAGATGTAAGCAGTGTGCTTGTGTTGCTCCTGCTCTCTTTCTTGCTTAACTTCTTGTATTTTCTCTCTCAATTTACCCACCTAGAATATAAGAATAAAACTTAGATCAGTATATTTGCATGTGATGTGGACTCCCTGGAAGTCCTCATAAGA